GTTTCTGGTCTCTGTCAGTGGGATTAGAGCAGATGCGGTTGTATCGAAGGGCTTGGCTATAGACGATGGATCGTGTGGTGTGTTCTGGATGGAAGCTGGAAGCATGTAGGTAACTGTATGAGTCGGTGGGTTTTCTGTAGAGGGTGGTGTCTAATTTTCCATTGTTGATTTGTACTGTGGTGTCCAGGAAATGGATCTCTCGTGTGGAATGGTCCAGGCTGAGGTTAATGGTGGGGTGTAGGTTGTTGAAATCTCTGTGGAATGTCTCCAGTGTTTCTTGGCCTTACGTCCAGATCATAAAGATGTCATCGATGTAGCGTAAGTAGAGAAGGGGTAAAAGGGGACGGGAGTTGAGGAAACATTGTTCTAGGTCAGCCATAAAGATATTAGCATACTGTGGGGCCATGTGTGTACCCATGGCTGTGCCGCTGATCTGGAGGTATAAGTTGTTCTCCAACTGGAAATAATTGTGGGTGAGAACAAAGTTACATAGGTCTGCTATCAGGTTGGCAGTGGTGTCCTCTGGGATAGTGTTTCTAATAGCTTGTAATCCGTCTTCATGTGGGATGTTGGTGTATAGTGCTTCTACATCCATGGTGGCAAGGATGGTGTTATTGGGGAGGTTATCGATGTTTTGTTAGTGTGAGAGCTCCCCTCTGGGTGTTAGAGCCACAAGGCAATGTGCAGAGACTGCCTGAACCTGCAGAATGGTAGAATCACATAGCTCGCTATTACTCACTGAAAAAACAACCCACACAAATCAATACAGTTTTCCTGCACTTTACCTGTTTTCTCAATACTTTCAGTTGATGATCAAGTAGCATAGCTGCTTCAAACACCTTCTCCTGGATAGAAGACCAACTGCATCCTGAGATACACATGAATGCTTTAATAATTAGCTCAAAAAGAACATTAAAACAAACCTTTAAAGCCTTCAAATATTGCTAAGATCATGAATGTGTGGATTTATGAATGTTTATCTAGATACTTATGACTACACACACAGTTGAGTACTTTAGAAATTATCAAATTTATCCTCATGGCACTGCTGTGAGAGAAGTCAGTACTATCCCCATTTAAAAGGAAAGACAAGGACTATGCGGCACTTTAAAGATTAACAAGATGGCTTATTAGGTGATGAACTTTCGTGGGCCAGAGCCACTTTCTCAGATCAAATTGTGGAAGAAAATTGGCACGACCATATATACCAAAGGGATACAATTAAAAAAAAAGTGAACACACAAAATTGACAAATCAGATTTTAGAACAGAGGGGGGGTGAGGATGTAACTACCTTACCCATTACAAAGTTGCTTCCCCAATTATCACCCCTAAACTCATAGACACTAACCTCCCCTCCTCACCCTGTTATAAAATTGACAAATCAGATTTTAGATGTGTTCACTTTTTTTTTATTGTATCCCTTTGGTATATATGGTCATGCCAATTTTCTTCCACAATTTGATCTGAGGAAGTGGGTCTGGCCCACGAAAGTTCATCACCTAATAAACCATCTTGTTAGTCTTTAAAGTGCTGCATAGTCCTGTCTTTTGTTTCAGCAAGACCAGACTAACATGGCAACATCTCTATTACTATTTCCCATTTAAAAGGGACACTGAAACAGAGTGTTTGAAGTGACAACATCCCAAGGTCACACAGTAAGTTTTTGTGATAGCTGGCAGCAGAAGCCAGATCTCTTGTGCTTTCACCTTCCTCCCTTAAAGGCTTGTACTCTGTTCTATCTTCTGCTTCATTTCCACCCTCCCCCCCCAACTTCAGGTTTTGGATACATACTTGAATTTAATGTACAGTGCATTCGACAAACTATGCTGTGTCAAGTTTGTAAATAAAAATATTTTTCAGCTAGCAACATTTGCTTGGTTCATTTTAAGCGCTTTCTGAAAATAGGGATGTAAAAGGTTAACAGTTTAATCTGTTACCAGGTAAGCATTAGGCTTATCAGAATGCTTACCAGGCAACTCATTGGAGTCCCATCAGCCAGGTGGGAGAGGCAGGCAGGACTGTGCCTGCACTGGCCTCCCAAAGACCCACTGGAGTGGCCCAGCCATCCAGGCGGGACCCTGGGCCTGGCCATGCCGGAGCATCCTGGATGGCCAGGCAGGACCCTGGTCATGCCAAAGAAGGACAGGCGGGATCCCAGACCTGGCTGCACTGGGCCATCAGGCAGGACTTGGCACTTCTTACACAGCCCAGGAGGGTGGGCAAGAACCAGACTCTGGCTGCCAGCCACCTGCCTGCCAATGGTTAACTTGTTAAAATGGTATAATTTTATCTGTTTAACCAGTTAACTATTTAGTTATTTACATACCCATTTGAAAACAGTGCACATCAGAAAGATCAGACAGATAGGTGGATGTGCCTGTCCCTTAGAAGGAGATTGAGTCCTTTGGTCTTCTCTCTCACAACACATCTAAAAGGTCCAATTCTCCTGCATTACCCAAGCTGCTTCAAAGAGGTGTTTCTTCATCTCCCACCTGCTTCCAGAAGAGTGTTTGCATAGTGTGAAATGTTCCCAGCCCTCTCCATGCCCACAGAAGAGTCAAACCTTAGCAGAACCACAATGTGGTAATTGTAAGATATGTCCCTCTTCTTCAATAGTAGGGACTTACTGGGTCAGACCAATGTTTCATTTAGCCTACTGTCTTGTTTTCCCACAGTAGCCAATGTCAGGTGTTTCAGAGGGAATAAACAGAACAAGCAAGAGAGTGATCCATCCGCTACTATCCAGTCCCAGCTTCTGTTAGAGGAGTTTGTATGAGGTTTCCCCTTTATGAGTATAGAAGATTTATAGATTCCCAGTGCCGGCTTCTTTTTACTGCTCCCCCATGTCCCGCCACAATTAAGCAGTCATAGGAAAAAAATTAAATTTGTTCCGCTGAGATAAACTTCATTGTGCCAACAAACACTGCTACTGGACACATTGGTGCAAATATATTCATTTAGTTAGGAATTAGCAGTTAAGAAGACTAGAACCAGACTTTGAAAGTAGCCCCAATAAACCCATTTAAGCAGCCAGGATACACATATTCAGCAAGGTATGAAAAAATGTGGTTGCAAGTGGCTGCTGAGTCCACTGTTTACTTGATCTCTTGGCCTGCAATGAGAAGAATTTGCACAACTCAAACCACACTCATACATTTAGGCCAAGCTGTTTGGGATGCATTGATCCCTTACAGCTTTTCATTAGCATGAGACTTGGAGATTTGCTTCTACATTCTGCTCTACCTCCTGAACACATTTTGATTTGAAACATTGCTTTGCCTTTCACCCCATCTATATTAAGGCAACACAAAAATTTTCATGGGAGAATCATGTCAAAGCTGCTTAGGATTGATGTTTTAACTCAGATTATCATCATGTATGTGGTCAGTATATGATTATACAAAATGGGAAATTTAATAAAAAGTCCAGACAAGCTCTTTTAAACACATTATATATATTTTATATTTTTTCTTACTGCAATTTTACAATTTTCACAAATATCAAAACCCATGTGTACATGTTCATTTTGCAACAGGGAATGAATGTACAGTTCCAAGAGACCAAGCATTTCAAAGAAACAGTTTGGAAGTGTAAACGCAATACGCAAGATCTTTATCTCGTGACACAGGTACTGTTCAATAGAAGCTGAAGTAACACCATATTGCAGAAAGTCTCTGTACAAATGTTTTCGCTTAGCTGAGAAGATTTAATGCCTTTAGCTTGTCACCTGGTTCAGTTCTCCATTCCCAAAACATTATACAAACATACAATAAATACATTTCTGATTGTAAAGGACACTTCAATGAGTCATGAGAATTTACAGTACAGTACATTTAAATTCAAGTGCAAAACGTTACTAGTAACTAGTTATTAACATTTATTTGAATTCTCTACCATGCTGGTCCCAGGTACCAATGTGTCCATTCTTCCTCAGCCCCACAGGCCTTGTTGCTAATGCATGTGTGGGGATCGCAGGAGTGGGGGGGGGCCCTTAGTTCATCCAACTGGGGATCAAAGGGTCTGGAATTTCCACCCACCACTTTACTGTAAACCATCATTCTCCTCTTCCTCCCTTGCACCCAGCAGTATCATGCCACAGGCAGTACACTGAAGTTGAGTGACGCAGAATGCACCTTCTGCCAGGAACCGTGCTAGACATGTGTCCGATTCCAAGACATGCTGAGCACCTAGTCACTTCAATGGCTTAGTTCCTTTCAGGATCTGTTCATTGATGTTAGATGCTGGGCCAAACACGGTTCTGGCTTACGCCCCATGCTCTCCCATTGATTTCAACCTGGAACCCAAGTTTTCCTCTCAGTAGCAATCTGTGTTATGAACCAACCAAATGGGATGGCTATAGCTAACACTGAAAAGAGTGACTAGATAGAACTCCCAATCTTCCAGTGTCTCACATTATATAAACAAGTCTTATAACATTTGGTCATTTAAATCATGCTTCTTTTTTCAGAGGGTTTTTGCTTACTGAAATTTGGCCATTCTATTAACAGTATTCTCATCCTACCCCCAAACTCCCAATCATTATTATTTATAGGCAATCCCTTCTCCAGGCACTTCACACTTTTACTATCTTCTATACATAACCACAGTAGGAACACTCAATTGAACACTATTTAATATGATTAAATTAAAAAAAATAGTGTCTACTGGAAATCTCAAACTGCCCAATTTTGATCAAGGTCTCTGGTCTTGGGCACTATCTCTCTCTCTCTCTCTCTCTCTCTCTCTCTCTCTCACTCACACACACACACACACACACACACACACACACACCCTTTTTAATGAAGGGCTGTAAACTTACTGAGATTATTTAATCTCACTTCCATTTGGTTCTCTCTCAAATGCCTTTTTCAAAAACTTTATGCCTTGCCAAACTAAACAAACCACCTCTCCTCTGCGTCACTTAATCCATCACCACATTATAAAAACAAACATTCTTGCTGAAGGTATTCAAGATTTATAAGACAAAGTCTTTGCAAAAAACAAGGCGTGCCTTCATTTATAGATTTACTTTGTCTAGTATCTCTTAATTATGTGTATTTAACTTTTTCAGGAAAATGCAATTTTTCTCCTAAAAAAGTAGTGTTTTCTCCAGTGTAGTTTCTCTGTGGGAAAAATTAAATTTGAATTAATTAATCAAATGGGGAAAACTGTATCAAGTGACTGAGTGTTTTTTCTTCAAATTACAAGTTTTTCAATACAAGCTCCCCTTTTTCTATAAATTGCAAAGAATCTCATAACATGAGACCAAATTTTAGCAAACCAACTAAGAATGTATAAGGCAGTGAGATTCAGTCCCATTTCCTCTGCAAGGCCTTCCAGACCTTTACCTTCCCCTGCACCTTCTAACTGCATATTGTCATATAAATGGTCTTAAATACTTAAAAGCGTGTGCTGCATTAAGTTTTGTTTGATTCCAAGATGTGCTGAGCACCTGTAGTTCCTACTCACTGAAGAAGAAGGGCTCTGTTGAGCTCTTGTGCCACCATTTCCTAGCAGAGAAGCAGGATTCCATGCAGTGGATTTGATAAGATAAACTCATCTTAGTGCCCTGCAGCAGCAGGCTGAGTATTACTGACCAAGGGAAACTGATCCAGCACTAGGGGGCTCTGGGTCATTTTGGGAGTTGAGAGTCACCGTTGTAGGTGTTGAACCATCTTTAGATTCCTCAGTGTTTCTCAAATTTGGGGGCTGTTCTGCTGGGCTGGCTTCTGGAGCATTTTGATTCTCACTGGCTTTCTAAAAAGAGAGAAAGCACATGCAAATATAAGTGTTTACTCGCATTGCATTATTCCTAAAGGAAATACATTCAGACAATTCGAGAAGTATTCTTACACTGAATGCATGCAATACAGCAAGTGAATATAAATCAGGAAAGCAATAAGAAGCAGATAACATTAGTAACAAGTAGAAAACAACTTACCTTCCATCTCTTTTCCTAACTGCACTTCCACAAGAAGCATGCAAAAAACAAACTAGCTATGTTTTAAGACAAAAAACTAGACTTGTACTCTATGCAGACAATCTCTATGACTGCATAGAGTTTGCTGAAACATACTTCATGCTCCCTTCTGCAAATCCACCCATATTTCCGTAATATTTTTTTTCTAAGTAAGCTATTTCTCAGTTAGATCCACTGAGTGGCAGCAGTAAAGATACAAATTTCATCCAATTTACTTAGCAGTAATGACTGGGTCAGTGATTCAAGCAGGCAATTCTCTAGTTCAGTCAAGAAGAAGACAGTCAAAAACAATTTTCTGAATGGCTCAGTGCACATTTTTATAAGCTGTTTACTAGATTCATGTGAGCTGATTTTAAAGACAAATTCCCTGAGGGCCAAAGACAAAACAAGTTTTGCTCAATACAAGTAGTACATCATTTTCTAACCTCACAATTTGTCTCGGAAGATGTGTTTTATATCAAGTAAGTAGAGCAGTAAGCATGCTCCTTTACTTGAAGGATTATAATAAGCAAGGAGGAAATAAGGAGGAATCGAGTGTTGCTCTAGTTAATCCCTTTTTCTATGCTGTTAGAGTGTTTCCTTCAAATGACCAACTTTCATGTGAAATCTTTTAAGAATGTTATTAAAAACCTGTAACAAGATATCTAGGCAGCGTTTTCTGGGTTTAGTGTTCTGTTAAATTCAGGCTAAAAGAAGGTGAAATAAAGCAATAGCAATGCATGGCGGTGGGGAGGGGGTGTTGATCTTTTTTTCCATTTAGAACTGAAATGTGGGGGTGCTTTGTAAAAACAAACATTTTCTCCAAGGAGCTGAAATATATTTCTTGCTTCATGGAGCAGAGATGCATTGTCAATGCATCTTCAAATGGAGGGCATGGGATCCCAGTTCATTCTAGGTCTACACTACTTTTTAATATAGTGGGGAAAGAAGCTATGCTTTGCAGGTGCTCAAGTGTCTACTTGTTATGTTATGGTTGAATACTCACTGGTGACTTAAAGATCTTTCATTCACAAAATGAAAGACAGATCACTGAAACTGGCCAGTTAAAAAACAGCTGACTGCCCTGGGGAGGCAGTGGGGAGTGAGAAAACACTAAGAGTCATATTTAACCTAACTTCAACATTTGGATTTGGGTGAGCAGAAATAGGGCTTTTGGTGTTTGAACCTAAAAACACAGGCCCCACTGAGAGACTGTGAGGCACTGCATAAATGCAAAGATAAACCACTGCAGACCCACCTGCAGGATTGGTGCCTTAATAGAATTATTCCATGGAAACAATTTTCTCCCAACAAAAATTAGTTATTCCCAGCCCACAAATTCTAACAATCATATTTAAGAATGGCTCTTAATTTTATCAGTTATATGTGAAGTAGATAATGCAATACCAAAATTCAATAGCGTTAATAAAAAGACTCCATGAATGGCTGCATGAAGCTATGAGAGAGGGGAAGAAGTTATTAAGAGAACAGAAATGTCAGAGCGTTATAGGAGCCAACAAAAGATTGCACAATTGCCCAAGTCATTTACTAAGAGTATGTCCCATCACTATGAAAATTTGTTGATTAGCTTTGAGCGAGATAACCACAAACAATAAAATATTTTCCTTGGCCTGTTCTGTGTGACTGTCTCAAATTTTCAATTGATGACACTAATAGGGTTAGTCTTATTTTAATAACTGCTTAAGAGTAGACTGATGGAAAACTGGGAGAGCAGCATGTATAGAAAGCACAACACAATGGCATTGTGTCAATGAGGATTTCATTATCATCCAAAAGGAGACATTTGATTTTTCTGACGTGGGTGTCAAACTCTTCTTATATAAACAGACATTCTAGAGTAATTTCAACATGGATGTTCACTGCCTGCGCATGCAAGGTAGTCTCATTAAAGCTAATGGAAGCTCAGCATGCATACTGAAAAGAGAACATACGCATAGGGATATTTACAGGAATACAGGCAAATGGGGGGAGGAGGGAGACAGCTGGCGAAGTTGGGATTTCTTTAAATGCAGCTTTGCCACATCTGCAGTGTCATGTCCAAAATCATCACCTTCCTGATGTCGGACTGGTAAAATGATGACATTTGTATGTTTAACGAATGGCAAATTTATAAGGGAGAAGCTGCACCACTCCTCCCCCAGACAGATAGGAGAAACAGGCACTTTATTACCCACACAGTTTTAGAAACCAGCATTGACAGCAGCAGCACAAATTTTCCTACATTGCCTCACCAACCACTGTGCTCCAACTCCATTCTGGAGGGAGCACCCAAAAGATCAGATGATATCCAGTCTCCAAGTCCGTCCAATCCTTGGCCCATCTGCCAAGCTTTCTAATATAGGTGCTGGGGGACTCTGTAATGTGAACACTGGAAAACAACAGCTCATTTCGCATAGGCCACAGACCAGGTCCCAAGTCCTAGTCACTTTTTAGTCACCACAAGTCTAGCCCAAATCTAATTGGTGAAAAGCTCCATATCCCACTACTAATTCTCTGGAACACCCATTTCCACCATATTTTGGATGTCTGCCAATTCTTAACCCCTCCCCATGCCTCCAGGCTAATCTCTAAAAGGAAACATTAATCTAAAATGGAAAAGAGATATACAGACATATTACTCCTTAATAATTATGCAATTTTGTTAACACTCACTTTTTCAAACCACGAGTTCTGCAACTACAAAAACGTGTTTAAACTAACAAAACCGTGGTCAATTTACAGGCAATTCCAGTATATCCCAGCTTGTAATAACAAAGGGGATGAGAAGAAAGTGGAAACTAGACTATAAGCAGCAGAAAGATCTGTCAAAATGAATCCATGAACAATCCCACTGTATCATACATGTGTATTTGTTACTGTTGTTCAACTTCATGCAACTCTAAGTTTCTGAGATAGATAGAGAATGCTTGCCAGATATTAACAATTTTAGGTGCTGTAGATTACATAAAACCTCCAACAGTACACTTTTAAGTTAACTTTAATGGTGATATGAATGTTGTGTATTAGGAGCGGGTTACCTGCAAAGGCTGGTTCTCAGGCGTCAGATTGCTTTTAGACAGTTGTACCATCTCCTTTATTTGATAGACAGCATAAGCCAGAGTAACCCAAGGAGAAGAACTGATCGCCCATGCAGGCTTGTTCACATCTTCCTGTTCTTCTTGGTGCTTGGTTTTCTTGGGAGGAAGTCTGGGCTCAGTTCGAGGCATGATATCTTCTGACTGTTGCTGTACGAGGTCAATGGTTGCTATGGGAACAGGACTGGAAGGCACTGGGATCCTTTCTGCCAGCATTGTCTTCTCTAGAGTGTACGGCAACATAATCAAAGTCAGTGATAATTACAAAAGATTAGGACTCAAAGCACAGAACATGAACATATCTCATCATGCTTTGCAACGTTAAGAATTAATCTGTTCCCTCACTGTGATTCAAGGACTCATGATGCCAACTGGCAAAGGGTACAGGGATTCCCCTGGGCTCACCAAAAGAATGTCTTGTAAGATACTCAATGAAAGCCCAGGTCACACTGACCATAATAATCACTGAGAGATGTATATATGGAAATATGTGAAGAGTTATGTATATACACTAAAAATTATGTTCTTTAGGCCTTATAGTTAAGACAGGCCACCAAAAGGTAATCCATTGGCAGGCTGTGGGGAAGAAATGCTTATTTTACTCTGACCTGCAACAGGCAATCTGAGTATTGTATCATTCACAATAAATGCCCATTTGCAGGCTGAATAAAATGCTAATTAACAGATCACAGGGACTGAAGGAAAACAACTAAACAGCAGGAAAACTTGAGAAACAATGGCCCTGTGGACACCTTAGAGCTTACCCCAAAAAAATATAGATGGTATCATGAGTTTTTGTGGGCACAACTCATTCTTGGGATGACAAATGATACCATCTATATATTTTTGGTTAGTCTCCAAGGTGCTACAGGACCATTGTTATTTTTTAAGGGTTTTTTTTTTTTTTAAGTTACAGACTAACATGGCTACCCCTCTGAGACTTTTAAACAGCAGGAGTTATCCTGTTTTTGGATAAGCCAGTAAACTTTTGAAACTATCTGCTGAACAGATAAACCCTGGGTATTAATGCATCTACTTTTCTTCCATCGATAACATGCTACATTCATATCTAGTATGAATGGATCACAGAAAAATCTTTCCACAGACATTAGGGATACGGTGACAACAAAGGAAACATAACCATCTATCATGGTGATTTTCTGACTAGAAGCAACCATTTCTGATATGGGATAAAAATGATCAACCTTTCCCTGAATTCTGACATGATGTTTTTTCAGGCCAAGACAGTTTTTAACAATTGCTTAGAAATATTTGATCAATGTAATGATTTATTGCCTAATACACTCTACCTTATATAGCTGCAGGATATTTATTATATATATATTAAGCAGGCTAGATTTTTTACGCAGTAGCTCTATGCCCTCTACAACAGTACAGCTTAAACCTCCCAAATCCGGGACTCTCTAGTCTGGCAACATCCGGGGGCAGGGAGCGGAAGACATCCGTGAGTCCTGTGAGGCATGGGGAACCCCAGCAGTGCCCCAACATGGTGAGCCCCCGGGGATGACAGGATCCATGGCCCCTTCTGGGAACCCCCAGCAGCAGTGGGGCTGGACCGGGGAGCTCCTAGTCACAATGCAACTGGTGGTGGCTGGGGAGCCCTGTCCCCAACCAGGAACCTCTGGCAGCAGCAGGACTGGCTGGGAAGCCTCAGCCCTGGCCAGGAAACCCCAGCAGCAGCAGGTGCCAGTGGCGATTGGGGAACTTTGTCCCCAGCTAGGCAGCCACGAGGAGCATGACCACAGTGGCGAGAGAGACACTGCTCTGGGGAGCGGGGCCAGTAGTAGAGCGGGGAATCCCACAGCCTGGAGAGGAGCCAGGCATGGGCCGGTGGCCAACAGGGGATTATTGACCTCTCCTGGTCCAGCAAACTCCCTGGTTCAAGATTGCTCAGATCCCAAGGGTGCCGGACCTGGGAGGTCCAACCTGTGTAGAGATGAAATATACTATTTTTCCTCAGCCATTTTCAAAAGAAAGCTTAAATAAAATATAAACAAATAAAATCTTTAAGGAATTGATATGGCAAACACTTAAGCACATGCTTATCTTTATTTATGTGAGTAATTGCATTTAAATCAATGAGGCTATTACAGTGTTTCAAGGTAGGGTTATGCTTAAATAAATGTGGGACTGATGTTTAAAATTTTCAAACAAATATATAGGTGCAGAAGGAAAAACAATATTAAATTCTAGAGAACTATGACCCAAGGAAAAAATATGAATCCATTTGGGACTCTCTCACATTCACTCCATATGCAACAGAAACAATGATTATACCCTGTCTAAGTTTCTCTTTTGTGCCATTATCACTTGAACATAGGTGGAAGAAATTAAGGCTAAACAAATATTTGAACATTCTTACACACAAGCAACTCAAGAACTAGTGAAGGACAGCCCTTGTATCTTTAGAATAAAGAAAAATCCATGAATATCAAATCCACCTAGGTTTTAGAGTGGAATAAAAATAATATTTGGGTAAAATACCCTAAATGTTTATTATTTTTCATTTCCAACATGAAACAGGTTTATTTTTTTCTGTAAGAATAATAATATATAGGATTAATAAAAAAAAAAAATCTCAGCTCCTGAGGAATGATTCTGGGCTAGTTTTCCTGTATCATGACTACATCTTTCAAATTCCACAGTCTTGAGTTAGCATCAGAACATAAGAATAGCCTTGGTCTCATTGACCTATTTACCTTCTTCTTCATCAGGAACAGCTAGCCACTGGATTAATGCAAAGAGCAGTAGGATCACTAAACAGGCCATTCCTATCCCCCTGAATGTCGCAGCAGCCCCTGCAATGAGAATTTTCTTCAGACTATTTGCATAGATAATACAGGAAAAGACAGACATCATGATGACTTCTTCACCACTTAATATACCATGTAAAAATATAAAACTCTTTGTTCTTATGTGGCATCTCCATTGCCAGAGGTTTACACCTGTGGTAGCTCATTCTGTATGATCCCTGCTAATCATTCTGTATGAATCTGCTAATCCCTGTGGAGGAACAGTTCTTTTAATCTACTCAGGATACCACATTGTCCATCCAAGATCAAACTTTAATTAGGTTGTTATATTTTTTTTCCTTCTAGCACTTTCTGCAGCAGGTTATTTTACCCAGAGTCTGAATAAATTATACTTTCACTTCTCGACAGAGTCTGTTGCATGACAACTGCACAATAGTGAATCACCACAGTTGGTCATCTCATAAAAGTTGTATCCTGCTGCCTGCTTGAGGACAGGGCAGAGCTTAGGAGTGGATTTGTTCATGTAGCAAAAATCCTCCAAATATTAATGATTAACCTGTTGAATTGGAAATATTTCACTTCCCAATAACTTCATAAATATCTGTTTCAATTACCTTTGGTAAATGAAATAACCAAACAATCATTCATTTTCGGATAATAGCTGTAAAACTAATTGGAAAGTTTTTCAAAGAAATAACTATTTAGAAATGAATACAGTAATTCCTCATTTAACACCTGCCCACTTAACACGTTTTTGTGATAGCATGATTTTTTTTAGGGAACATTTTTTGAATTACACAACCGTCCTTGGAATAACACAATTTCCCCAGCTGGCCCATTGCTGGCGGCTGCGCTGGGCTTCCCCCGCCTCCCTGCAAAGGGGCGGAGGGTTCACCACTCGCTGCGCCGTTCCCCTCTGGCTCCCCTTTGCCAGACACCTTGCCCCCTCTCTTCCGCCCCTGCTTGAAGGCCAGTGACTGGGTTTCCCCAGCTGGCCCATCACCGGCAGCTGCGCGGGGCTTCCCCTGCCTCCCTGCAAAGCAGCAGAAGGTTTGTCGCTCGCCGCGCCGTTCCCCAGCGACCCCCCCTCCCCTCGTCGGACGCAGTGCGGGTCCCGGCAGACCCATCACAGGAGCATACTCCCAACCCAATCCCCTTCCCCTCTCCTCCCCTTCCCTTCCCCAGAGCCAAACACCTCCCCTTCCTGCTGTAACCCAGTCCCCTTTCTCCTCCAACCTTATGTCCCGGTCCCAACAGACACCACTGCTTGAAACACAACCCCCACCTTTTCCATTATTTTCAGTGGGAAAATTGACCCCACATAACACGTTTTCACTTAACACAATCATTTTCTGAAACATATCTATAGTGTTAAATGAAGAATTACTGTAGTGTGTACCTTCTAAAAACGAAACGCATGTTTCTGAGTTGTGAAGAATATATATTAAGATTATCACAACCAACAAGAATGCACTTTTATGTAGAAAACCGTGATTAAATCGAGTCTTCCTGACCAGTGATTTAAATCATGACTATAATGACACTTCTGTAAAATATTTGCTTACCAAAGTAGTTGACCAAAACTCCTCCGATCATAGCTCCACATCCTCTGCCCAGACCTAAGTGGAGACCTTGTAAAATCCCCTGAGCTGAAGTTCTTAATTCTGGAGGCACTGCACCACTAAGATATGAAATACAAGCTGCCCATATGGCTGCATGAGTCACACCTATGGGGAGGAAACATTTCAGAAAGTACTAAGTACACCAGCATGATATGTTTTCATTTAATAGTTGACAGCAGCATGGAACTGACCTGGGGAAGAAGTGTTTGTTAAAAAACTCAAGGCAGCCAAGTTCCTCTGAAGTCTTTCATAATACAACAAAGCTATTAATTTTTTTCTGTGCTACTCAAGCTGCCCTGTCTGTCAATAGTTCTCCCCTGCTCATGAGAGTAGCATGGCACTAGTGTTAAGGCCTGTTCTACATTGAAAACATGCATCAGTGCAATTGTGTCATTAGGAGTAAGAAAAATGACACCCTCTATTAACTGGTATCCTTAGTGTAGATGCAGCTATGCCGACAGAAAAGTGCTTCTGTCAGTATAGTTAACATAATTTAGGGGCTGGCGTTCCTTCCCTGGCAGGACATCTTGTCCTATTGGGGTATGCTGTGTCTATATTTTGAGACTGCACTGACAGCTACAGCTGCGTCAGCACAGGCTCAGAATTGCAAGAATCATTGATACTGTGATTGCCCATAGGCTATGAACCAGGGCCAGTCTTAGGGTTTGTCCTAGGAGTAAGCCCTAGGGCTACGTCTACACTGGCCCCTCTTCCGGAAGGGGCATGTAAATTTCAGCAGTCGTCGTAGGGAAATCCGCGGGGGATTTAAATATCCCCCGCGGCATTTAAATAAAAATGTCCGCCGCTTTTTTCCGGCTTTTAAAAAAGCCGGAAAAGAGCGTCTAGACTGGCCCCGATCCTCCGGAAAAAGTGCCCTTTTCCGGAGGCTCTTATTCCTACTTCCAGTCTAGACGTTCTTTTCCGGCTTTTTTAAAAGCCGGAAAAAAGCGGCGGACATTTTTATTTAAATGCCGCGGGGGATATTTAAATCCCCCGCGGATTTCCCTACGACGACTGCTGAAATTTACATGCCCCTTCCGGAAAAGGGGCCAGTGTAGACGTAGCCCAGGAGTTAGCCTTAGGGTTAGCCCTAGAAGTTCAAAGGCTAAATTGTTATATGTACACAGACATACCACTATGGAAAAAATCAAACTGTTTAAAAAGATAAATAAAAGCATGTCCTAAGGACCAATTCAAAATTAATTCTTGGCACTAATACACTTTGCATCTGCTTTTGGGTGACTGACAGACCACTGAGATTCCTCAAGTTTAGGCAAAATACAGTAAGCTTTGCTTATACTGTTTTGAGTCAGACAACAGGATCTGTCCCACAGCTGTAAATCTGCTCTAACATGCCATTACAAATCAGTTTTGCACACCTGTTGTCAGACATCACAAGTTTCCACTGCTAACAGTGGCAGAGGTCCTTTCAGATATAAATAATACATATTCATTTGAAGCACTTTAGGCTAATCAAATTATAATACATTTTGGGTGCCTTTTTTTTCTTACCATTGGAAGTCAGAATATGCAGAGACAATTTTGCCTAAGGCAGAAAACAGCAGTCAGATGTCATAGAGCAAAAAGAACCAATAATTATCAGCTTGCAGAGAGAAGGGAAGGTTGCTGTCTGCAGCCTTAATTTGAGATTCTGAATTTGGGGCAGGGGGAAAGAATAAAATAACAATTTTATAGAGAATTACAGGGTGAACACACCTGAAACTATTTTACTGTGGTTCTGCTTTAAAAACCCTCATGGGACTTGCTGGAGATACTTATTCAAAGTTGGGTGGAATTAAAAACAGGCACAGGTCATTCTGATGACAATTGTGCAAATGCTAGTAATGGGTAATGTATAAAAATGGTTGTGAGTATGGATGATTTAACATATCTGTCTTATATACCAGGTTTATTAACCAATATCAGGGAGACAGAGTTCAGCTCTGCAATTGCTGGTCAGTGTAGGCTAACAGCCACAAACTAAATTAAATAAAATCAGCATAAGAAATCTGTAGGAGGAATATTGACGTACAGGGTTACATAATATTCATTTAATGAACAGCAATATACTAGATTTGATCTTCTGGCCATGAGTCTATTTGATGTTAGAAGGTTCTATGTTAATTCTTTACTTTCTGCAAAAAGAATTTACAACAAAAATACCTGGGAATTTCAGACTACTTATAATGGAGGAATAGTCAGATTACAGAACACATCATGTTTAATGGCTCATCTAGAAGTAAGTGTTAAATTGCGAGTTTGCCCTTGCTTATCCACATCAAGTCTGTTGAAAGAAAACTTAGGCGAGACATGAAGAATGATTTTCAGACCACTTTATACCATATATATGAGTTAAAAAATAATTTTAAAAGTAGTAATTAAAAAAAAGCTAGTTACATACTGATGAGATTCCTGATTGACTTCCTTAAACTATTGTATTATCTTCTTGATCTCCAATTTAAAAAGGTATAAACTAACAAGGTCGATTCAGTTTTTGGAAAACTGTGTCATATGGGGATTAAAAATAATGCATAGTTTTGTGGCACCTTAAAGACTAACAAAATATATATGTAGACAATATATGTAGAGAATCATGAGCTTTCATGGGTGAAACCCACTTCATCAGATAAGATGGAATGGAAATAATAGAATCCAAAATATATATAAGAGCAGAAAGCATTTGCCCATCAATTGTAGACCCATGTTAATGAAGCTCATTAAGTGGGCTGGATGTGTTCCTTTCATAGCTTTTGATGTGGAAAAGCAAATGTTAAAGGATTAAGAAAAAATCACTGAAAAGCTTATGTAACATAGTCAGATGATTAGATTAAAAAAAAATCAAGTTAAAAACCTAGCAATTTCAAAACATTTCTGGTGTACTTTCAGTAATTTGACTCAATGCTAATTTGTTTGGTAAGGAAAACAAAGGCCAAAAAATTAAAAACACATGCCCACAAATGTAGAGCAAGTTGAGAGAAGCACCTGATGTTTTCAATGCCCTTCAAAATTAACCTAATCCCTTTAGAGTCAAATAGGATCAAATTTGCTTTTTATTGTGTGTGTATCACGAAATCATTTGGTTTTTGTGATGGGCATCGATATAGCACTCGCAATTTCAAACTGAACCCTACTGAGAAACCTGTTTGGATTAGAATTAATTAAATGTTTCAAGAGAGACTGTACATGTGAAATATAAAATAATACTTTTGATTTTTTTATCCTGCTTTAGCTCTAGCTTCTCTTTGTACTGAAGTTTTCTACACGTGCCAACCTCTAGCAAACTAAGCTTCAGAGTATTGATATTTTATAGGATGTAATTCATCCAAACAGAAAAGGAATTTTTTTTATTAATTACACCCTTCTCTAGGGATGTAAAGCAAGGAGGAGGAGAAGAGGAGACTAAGGGGGATATGATAGAGGTCTATAAAATCATGACTGGTGTGGAAAAAGTGAATAATGAAAAGTTATTTACATATTCCCACAATATAAGAACTAGGGGTCGCCAAATGAAATTAACAGGCAGTAGGTTTAAAACAAACACAAGGAAGTTTTTCTTCACTCAGCACACAGTCAATCTGTGGAACTCCTTGCCAGAGGATGTGGTGAAGGCTAGGACTTTAACAGGGTTCAAAAAAGAGCTAGATAGATTCATGGAGGTTAAGTCATTCAATGGCTATTAGCCATTCAATGGGTCGGAATGGTGTCCCTCCCTAGACTCTGTTTCTCCAGAGATTGGTGACAGGTGAGGGATCACTTGAGGATTACTTGTTGTGTCTCCCCCCCCCCCCGCGGGGCATCTGGTATTGGCCACTGTCGGCAGACAGGATACTGGGCTGGATGGACCATTGGTCTGACCCAGTATGGCTGTTCTTATGTTCTTTGTTGACTACCTGATAAGCCTAGGCTTATTGGGTAGGTGAGTCAACTACTCACATTTCCTTTCTCCCCGCTTGTTGCCACTTTATCAGAAGCAGCAAGGAAGGGAGCAGGAGCCGGTGCTGGGGGGAACCAGCTTAAAAACCGATTCCCCCCAGCACAGTTTCTGTGGTACCGCCTGCCCCCCCCCCGCTGCCTCTATCAGAGGTAGCAGTGCAGTGGGGACAGGGCAGGCTGCCACGAAGCAGCCTCTGCCTGTGACAGGCCCAATCAAGACTGAGCTCCTTCCCTTATCAACTAATCATATAGTCATTAGTATTTTTATCAACTACATGATTAGTCAATTATCAGCCCAGTAACAACCTTACCCTCCTCTCTCCCTCTTCCTTGGGAAATCAGAAACATAAATTCTGACTCTCCTAGCTGTTTAAAATAGTCACAAATTGATTCTGTGACCCCCATTCCACTGTTACACAGTCTGGAGTACAAAGGAAGCTCTACTGCAGAGGCACATGAAACAGGCAAGAGGAGGACCTGTTCTATCCTGCATGGTCTTTGTGAGCACTCTTCCATTTTACATCAGTTAAACTAGTCCACTTGGAACAAATCTGGCAGTTATCATAGCTCTGCATTTTTCTTCCTTAAAGACTCAATCAAATCATCATCTTTATATAATCAGATAGTCAAGAGTTTTCAAATGAACTCTGATTGTGTGAAAGGAAAAGATTTCAGTATACTAGCCTATCAAAAAAATGGGTATAGTCTAATAAAACTGTAGTGAACAAATTGTCCCTCCTCTCTCCCCCTTCCCTACCATGTTATATACTCCACAGAAATGGCTATCTTTGCTAACTTTAACTTGAGCTTCAGGCACAAATGGAAAGCAGTACTGGCCCTGGCACTTGTTTCTGGACCAGTTTAGCCATTTGCCACTTTTTAAGAGCTCCATATCTTTAAAACAGATATTTTCAGGTCATTAGTCTCACCATCCAGCAGGACAATTTAGAATGGCTGCTATCACACAGAGGAGGTAATTTTATACTGGGAAAAATTCATTGTCAGAATAGAGGTCAGCCCATTGTTTTGAAACTAACATTTGAAACCAGAGTATAGTAGTGATAAAACTAGTCATTGTAAAGAGAATGGTAAATTGATGGGTCTCTTAACTAAGTTTCTTTATATCTACTTAATGCAAAAAGTCAACATACTTGAAAGACAACATTTAAGAAGGGTAAATGCAGGTTTGTGTTGACTTTTTTACACACCCTAGCCACCCAAAAAAAAATAAAAATTGCCGGTCTCTCAATTTTTTCAGTGGTGTTCTGTGGATTATAAATTAGACTACTAAATGTTCTACTGTAACTTTGACAAGAATTGGAGACATGTTACATGAACTCATTTCCTTGCATGTTTGGAGAATGAACACGTACAACGTATTTACACCCCATTGGCACTCGTATGGCTGGCAGCCTTTAAATTTCCAGCAATTTACAAGTTAATCCAACCATTTATTTTCATATAACTGTTCTTGTGTGACTAAACAAGGATTACAATTTCCACACTTTCATCAGGAAGTAAGTGTAAAATAATCTTCCCATTTTCTGTTTTAGGAAGATGCTGTATTTCAGCATCTCACCAATTTATATACACGGATTGTAATGTTAACCTTGCTACAATTTTGCGACTATCAATAGATGTAGTTTGCACAGTCTCTTCTAGAAATCTCTCCGTGCCCTTCACACTCTGTGGTGGCCCTGAATTCTTAATTTGACGTTCAATATACATTTATAATTTTATATTAATAAAACATTTAATCTTCTTTAAAATTAATGTATCCATCACTATCTAAGTATTTCATTAAATGGCTATTAAATGATGAAGTAGTTTATATCAAGAACTTCAGGAAAAACAAATTCCAAAACCCACTCTAGGTAATAAACAGCACAAGTTTGCCATATTTTCCTGTATCAGTTCTACAAGAAAGTTATTAGGCATTGAAAACTCTGTTAGAGCTAGGGATGTGAAAGTGTAACCATGTGCATGGTTACATGCAGGCTCCCTGTATGCACAGAGAGCCCTGTGTGTACCGGCTCCTGGGGAGCTGCCTGCTACTCCCTGTGCTGCCTCTGATACATAAGGCATGATACAGAGACAGCACATGGGGGGAGAGCGGGCAAGTGGGAGCTGGTGTTCGCAGGGAGCTGGCTTTTACCCCGGAAGTGTTGCCTCTGTATCAGAGGCAGCAGTGCTGGAAGGGGGAGACAGGAGACAGTGTATGCAGGGAGCCGGCTTAAAAATCAGCTCCATATGTGCACAAGCCACGCAGCAGACCCAACTGCTCCTCACATGTAACCACTGAATTTTTTCAGTGGTTACACGTTTACTTAATTAACCACATTTTAACATCCCTAGTTAGAGCATATGTGATAAGATACTTATCAAATTAAACAATTTTTCAATATTGCATTAAAATGTACTCATGTCATGTATATAATGAAAAAATAAACAAATATTTGGAAACTAGAATCACTAGATCAAAACAGAAGGCACATTAACACCACAGCTTGTAGTGACTCATCACGTGTTGCTCACTTTAAGTGGGAAAGTCAAATAATCTAGGTCTTAGACTAGAACCATCTAAAAAATGGTAATATGGCAGGGTGTGAATATAAATGGCAGAAAGCCAATCTGAACTATAGTAATCTAATATGCTTTTAGTACACCTCAGAGGTCCTTTACAAATATGATTTTTCACCTGACAGTAGGACCTAAAATTATGTTTTTGTACAGACTACACACATATCATCAATATCTCTAATTTAAAATAATGGCCCTGTACACCTTTGATTTGAATAAAAAAGTAAAACTATGAGGCTTGTTTTGCCTTGTGTGTATATTCAGAGCTTTGATGAAACCTAAGTTTGACAGGTTACAGTAGTACATTCAGTAGCCTAAGTTATAAACCACAGAAAAAACAATTGCAGAAAAATTTAACAGAGACAGGATGTTCCAGAACAATTTTCCTTGGTGGCAAGGGCATTTAAAAGAAAAGTTAACACAAACATAAAGCCTCCCTTTTTAACATCTTTCAGAAGTGCTGACTTTTTGCATTTAATAAATATAAAGAAGCTTAAGAACCCCAGCAATCAAGCAGCATTTGCAGGTGTGTATTCAACTCAAGTTCCTGTCTCCTTGTTTAGTTACAGGGTGTGTCGATCTCTAGCAGATCTGTTTGGATCAACACACAGAACAGTGGGGCATATCAGCTGCAGAACCAACCTCCTGACGTCAAACCTTTTGCATGACAATCACTGTAAAAATTTATGAGGCCACAAGTCTTTTGGGATATTTATAGTCAGAAGGAAAGAGCTACTGGATTTTCTCTTAATCACAGCTCAGATGGCAACATGAATAATTTAAGTGTCTCGCTTTATACTATGAAATCGTAACTGCATGATTTTACCTTGAAGTACTTCCATAGGGAGAACAGTCCAGGCATTTTCCAGATACGAGATGTAAATGTAGCGAGCTGTATTACAGGCAAGGCCAATATAGAGCACTCTAAAGGGAGGAAGGAAAAAAGCAGTCACAGGCTTGAAGTTTCCATATCTTGTATGGTACCATAAATATACACGAATGGTTTCTAAATCTTAATATGAATGTGAATTGCAGTACAAAGAGGAGTATGTTCACATGCAATAATTTCTTACTCAAAAATAAAAAAATCTTCCTTTACAAAGATCCCATACCCAAATGCAACCTCTCCCTGCTCTACAGGCAGGCAGTTAAATTTCTTCCAAGTTAAAAATAAATATGTAATTGATTACATTTAAACAAAACCCAGAAGAATTCTTTTCAACCAACTAATGGAAAACAAAATTAATTCTAAATAGAGGCATGTTTCTGTATACGATTAATAGATTCTGTGAATGCCTGACTAGAAAGTGTCTATTCTTGTTTTATGTAGTGTCCTACTACATTGTCTTAGAGAGAATATAGTTTCCATTCCACCTTACATAAGCCTTTTAAAATGCCTCAGTGATTCATTCTTCATGTCCTGTACTTAGTAACAAAGCTGTACCATTTAAAAGGAATATAGGTCCATCATATTATAGAAATGTATTTCATCCACACTGATGTAGAGTTAGCATTCCAGGAGTTGCATCCAGTTCACTACTATCCTGAAATATGCATATTTCCACAAAAAGCAATACATACTGTATTCAATGGCATGACTCAGGATTCAGTTGTCACCAGTCTAGTTTTCAACAAGACAGTCCAGTTTGTAAGCAAGAGTTTTAAAATAACTGTTAAGCAAAAAGCCTGAGTCTAGTTTTCACAGTTCATTTTCTTGACACACTATTTAACCAAAGATTTTCTCTTTTCCTTCCTTCAGGCTTCAACCCAATTGCCGCTTGGTCACCAAACTGAACCGGCATTACTAAAAAACAGTCTTTATTATACATCACCTCTTTCCTATGGCTCTAAAAAGGAAACATTTTAGTAGGAGGTGATGAACCATCTTTTCCAGGACCAGGAAAAGAGGCATACTGGGATAACAGACTAAATTAATCTAAATAAGCAACAAATCATTTGCCTTTGTCCATCACTGGCTGGAAATTGCAATCTCTAAAAATCAAAAACGAGGTGGAGTTGACTAAAACCCCTTACCATCCACCCTGCTCCCACACACCCCCATCCATAAATGGGTACCACTAACTCACTCCCTCGTTTGCATTTGACAGATTCACTGGACTTTACAATAACCTTTTCTGACTCTTTAAAAGGTTATTTTTGGCTCTTGCTTTCACCCACTTTTTAGCATCCTGCTTATTGTACTTCATTGGAGGGCAAAGAGGAGACTGCGGTATTTACTGTTCTGAACTCAGGTGTTTTGTAAAACAGCTTGTTATTCAATTTGCAGGTTTCTAGTGGACCTGTTCCAAGAGGGAACGAGTGCAGAAGATTCAAGGTGACACACAGATGTTAAAATAAAAAAAACCACCCTAATCTTAGAATGATGCCTTTCACCTCCTAAATAACCAGGGCACAAGGGCCATGTAGGATAGAACCACAGGACATTTTTAAGAAGGAATGGTTGGCCAAAGTGTTAAGGCACAAGTCTGAGAGTCTGAATATTAGGGCTTGCTTTATTTCTTTCACAGCCCCAATCTCAATGCATTCTCTTAGCGAAGTCATTTAATCATTCTGTACCTCAAGTTGGCATGTGTGAAACTGGGCTAATACTTTTCTATTTCACACAAGCATTGTGAAGCTTACATCAATGTTTTGTTAAGAGACTTTTAAAAATTTAAGCTGGAAAGTGCTAATTCAAATGCAGTCTCACTTAAAAAAAAAAAAAAAAGTAGATCATATGATGGTCAGCCTTGGTGGCTTCCACTTAACACAAATGCCACAGCATGTACAATGCTCACGATATCTGTATGCAAACATAACTACATTGGAGCCAGCCCACTGGGATTAGCCAAGCTTGTGCTTTCTGCAATAATGCCTGGATTTGCAAAGTTCTTAATATTTTATACATTATAGTAGTTCACATAGTTTTGCAGGAAATCTTATCTGACATCCCAGCTGGTGGCTCCAGATTTTCTGCTTCCACAGCTGTGGCTGTGC